TGGCTGCGCCGCCCATGGCGCGGGGCCCGGTGGCGCCTGCGCATCTCGGGCGTCCCGGCGCTCGACCGGCGGGCTGGGGCGCGCCCGAGACCGTGGGAGTCAGGGCAGCCGAACCCGGGGCCGGCGGTCTGCGCGCCTTGGGTGTGTGTCTTGCTGGGGGAGGGTTTGGCGTGGCGCGCGGCGTGAACTCCATGCGGGTTTTTCCAGCCAGTCAGCCAGAATCTGCCCATTGTCAGCTGATGCAGAGTCACCCTGCCGTTCCTACTTTGAGGAGTTGCAGAGACACATATTCCATTACGGAGGGCCACCTGCAGGCCTTCGGCGGCCAAGATCCCTTGTGACGCAGCAAATGCCCGTCTTCCTACCAGACCCTTTGGAACCAGGCCCTGCACAGGGCAGATATACCCCTGAAAGGCCAGGAGGCTCATCTTCGATATTTGTGTGGCTTTCACATTCACTCAAACAAACATTTATAGAGCCTCTGCTTCCTGTCAGGCGCCAGAATAGATATTTTGAAGAGCGAGCAGACAGTGATTCAACACGTGGGTCCCACAGTCCAGGTGGGGATTGGCGGTTGAATGGTTATAAACAGAAATCCCTCTAACAGGACCCTGATTGGGGCGGTGCTGTCACAGAGGCACAGAGGGAAGGAGACTGGGTGAAAAATGATTTTTTGATTTAGGAGATTAGGAAAGGCAGCTTGGAGGAGGTGTTATTTGAACCATCTGGGACTTGTCCAGATGAGAAGTCAGGTTTGGTGTAGGATGAGCAAGGTATGGAAATGGAAAAGCACAGGGCCTGTGAGAAAAGTATAGTTGGAAGTGTGATTTGGAGGGGCCAGGTGAGGACTGAGACACCTAGCTTGTGTACTCTGATTTGCAATTCGATAAGCACTTATGAATAGCACTTAATCCTTTGTTCTAATGTCAGTTCTTACTTCTGGCCCCCAAATCTTGGCTGTGTCTTTAATTTGTCACATCCCACATTCAGTCTGTCAGTAAATGGTAGTGGGCTCAGCCCTCAAAATAAAGCCGCCAGACTGACCAATTCTGATCACCTCCATAGCTTCTGCCAGAGCTGGCAGCCTCTTCATACACTTCTAAGGAGCACCTTTTCACATCTCACTGGGATTTTGCAGTGCACAATCTGTATGCCTGTCTATTGTGGCCCTAGATTACTGCCATACCTTCTAACTGGTCTCCTTGCTTCTGCTCCTGTCCATCCTCAATCTGTTATTAACCCAGTGAGAATTATCTTATTCAGATGTAAGTCTGATCATGGCACTTCTTTGCTTAAACTCTCTTAATTCATTTAAAAATTATGTGCCTATTGTGTGCAAGGTACTGCTTAATGTGTTGGGACTACAACAGTGAACACAACAGACAAAAATTGCTGGTATCCAAGAGCTTACATTCTAATAAGACTAAAAGACAACAAATAAGCTAAATGAATACAGTACCCAGAGTGTTATAATGTGGTTAAGTGCCAAGGAGGAAAAAAGATGGAAGCAGGGAAGCGGGATAGAAAATGTCAGGCTGGGGGTGGGATTGATGGGGTGGTCAAGGATATCTCACGAGTAGACATTTGAGTGAAACACTGAAGTGAGAGAATTAGTCCTGTGAATATTGGGGAGGGGTGTTCCAGGTAGAGGGAACAGTAAGAGTAAAGACCCTGAAGCAGGAGCTGACCTGGCATGTCCCAAGGACAGCAAGAAGGCCACCGGGACCAAGTGCAGTCAGCAAACAGTGGGATGCAGTCATAGAGGTAATGGGGACCTAGAACACGCAGGGCTTGTATGTCATCTCTAAAGATTTTGGCTTTTATTCTGACAATATTTTGGTGCAGAAGTGATAGGATCATGCATGCTATGTTGAGCAGAATCTGAAGGGAAGTTTCGGTGGAGGCAGGGAGGCTATAACAAAATCCAGGCAAAAAGGGATGGAGGCTTAGACTAAGATGGCAACAGAGCATCCTAGATATAATGTAAAAGTGATATTATCAGTGTTAACAGCTGGGCTGTGGAATGTGCAAGAAAGAAAGATTTAGAGGAACGAGTTTGTAGGACAATTGCACAAATGCAGTTTTGGAAAGGTTAAATGTGAGATACCTGCTAAACATTCAAGTGCAGATGTTGGATGGGCAGTTATTTATGTAAGTCTGGAGTTCAGGGGAGAAGGTTGGGTTAGAAATAAACACTTGGGAGTTGGCAGCATGCGAATCATATAGATGTTTGAGACAGGGTCTCACTTTGTCGCCCAGGCTGGAGTGCAGTGGCACGATCATGGCTCACTGCAGCCTTGAACTCCACTCAAGTTTTCCTCTTGCCTCAGCCTTGTTTTGGCTGCAAGTAACAGACACTTTAAGTATGCTTAAACAACAGAGTAAAAACAGAGCATGCCTTACAGAGCTGAAGGACAGGAGGGAAGCTATTGTTGCTGCTGCTGCTTTTCTTTCTCCCTTCACCTCTGTTAATATTTCTTCTCTCTCTCTCTCTCTCTCTCTCTCTCTCTCTCTCTGTCTCTCTCTGAAGATTGGCTTTCTCTCCTTTGCTGTGGCTTCAGGGCCCAATATAGTGTAACTACCCTCCTCCAGCAGCCAAACCACATGTCCCCACCCCACAGAGGTCGGTTTGCATTCTTTCACAGTGCCAGGGGACAGAATGATAGGGTCATCTTGGGTCTGGTGTCTCTCCTTGACCCAGACCTCCATGGCCAAGAGGGTGGTCTCAAGGCCCAGCTACAACTGCAGAGGCCAAATCCTCTGTGGAGAAGTGACCCTGAGGGGAGGGGATCAGATAAGCAGGACAAACTCCCCAAGAGATGACCACTGCAGAGAGTGTTTGTGATGTGTTATCTGAGGAGAAATGGCCATCACCCAAGTCTAATCTGCTGACTGGACTATGTCTCAGACTAAACAAGGTGTTTCCATTAGTTGTGCCTTGGCTGAACTGGGTTATACAGTTAAATCCTTGACTTTTATTGAAGGTCTCTGTGAAACAAGCTATATGAGTGTCATGTTTGCATTTGTGAGAAAACGGTGATGAGAACATTGTCTACTATACCACTTGATGTTCTATATAATTCTTTTAGACTTTTGTTCCAGAATGAGTCTCTCTCTAAGGAATGTTAGATGTCTGAAGGAGGGCTTTAATACTTGTCAGGTTTGCTCTCGGCCTTAGCTGCATCTTCTTAGAAACCTCTCTGCAGTGAGAGCCAAGTGGAAGAAGAAGCGAACACACAAACTGAAGTGCAAAAGAAGAAAGATGAGGCAGAGGTCCAAGTGAACTACTAGCTTGTGCACCCATGGAGGCCATAGGCGCAGAAGCATGGAATGCCACAGGCCCAGGATGATGGTACAAGTTGTCAGATTGCATGCTATCTAACTTGCCCCTCAATGGATCTAGAATTTCATCGTCATCTGATCACCGAGACCACCTCAGAGAGACCCACCTTGCTCCCTATCAAAACAGTCCCTGTTGGTCCTTTGCTCTGGACCTGTGACATTCTGAACTGGTTCTGCATTGAGTTGTGACTGATTGTAACAAGTATACAATAAATCATCTTTTCTGTCTTAGCTGAAGAATCAAAACAAAAGATTAAAGTGCCAGGCTTCCCTTTTGCATGACCTCAAAGGAGCTTCCATTAACTTGTAAAGTTATCATGCAGAACTGAGCTAGGCTGGAACTTCCAAGCAAGACTAAATGGTCAGAAGAGAAATGGCCAAGGAATCATATAGTCTCTATATATCTGGTTAGGGATCTCAAAACTCAAATGGCCATAGTGTCCAGGAAATTGACAAAGATGATGTGGGTAGTTTTAAGATAGTAGGTGCAAGCTATTTGTATTGAGTTGAAGCATAACTCAGCTGCCTAGTTATATTGTCTTTTAAAATACTAGACTGGCCAAATCAGTCAAATGGAACACTTCAGAAGCAGGCTGCCCATGTTCAGACTTTGGAATCTGACACAAAAAGGGCTGGTCTTAAGCTCTTCAGTGTGGGGTCTCTGCGTAAGATGTTTCCCTGCCCAAACCCAACTTTCCCTCCTTATCACTAAGGTAAAGATAGGACCATCTCCTCCTCCCACCTGGTAATGCCAAGGACCCACCAAGGCTTCATGTCCAGAAATGCACAAGTTCTCTTTCCTGCCTGAGGTCCACCTCCTGTGTTCCTGTTTCCTGCGAATGCTTTGCCACTTGCCCCCTTTAGAAGAGATTCTGCTGCTAACCCATGGGAGGGCAGCCAGCTCTGCAAGTAGTCATGTCAGAATGCAACCTGGCGAGCCCAGCATCAGGACAAGGATGCACACACTGTTGTAGGAGTACTTTCTCTTTTCTTTATTTTTTGAGTTGGAGTCTCACTCTGTCGCCCAGACTGAGTGCAGTGGCCGCTCCCGGCCACCTCAGCCTCGACCTGCTGGGCTCCGGCGATCCTTC